GATTTTGCCAGTGGGCTATTTGAGGTACATGTGGTGTGTGAATTCTGACTTAACTTAGGTAAAATTGATGACACAATAGACAGACTGTCGAGGTGGCAACGTCTTAGTCGAGAAGTGCCCTGATATAGAGAGAGATAGTGAGGCAGCGATACAGGAATTAAATTGTTAAGAACTTTGTGGAAAAAAATAAGATCATTCAAGTCAAACTTTTGAGACAAAGGGAGAATGTCGACAAGCTTGCACTTTTTGACATATTGCTCAGGTGGATAACTGCGGCCCTCTTCAGACAGAATCCATTTAATAGCTCTCTTTTGGAGACTTTCTAATTTATCACTAAGTGATTTATAACAAGGGCGCCAGATTATGGAACAATTCTCGAATTGGCTACGAACCAGGGAGAGGTAAAGCGCCCGGCGACGTTTCTGATCAATGACAATATGGCCATCTCTTCTGACCATACCAAGTTGTTGGCAGGCCTTAGTATAAATTCTGTCGCACTGACTATTCCAACTTAACTTAGGAGTAACATCGACTCCAAGATCTTTTTCTAACTCTACATACACAAGAGGAGAGCCATCAAGATTATATGCGAATGGAGGAGATAAAGATGGTTTTCCTGAAACAATAAGCACTTTACATTTTGCTGGATGGAATCGCATTTTGTTTCTTAGTGCCCAGTCAGAGAGATAGTCTATATCCATTTGTAAATTAGTATTATCAGAAGATGAATGTATTTTACGCCAGATTTTTGTATCATCGGCATACAAAACAATATCAGTATTATCCGAAAGGCCAAGAGGAATATCATTGATAAACAATACAAAAAGTAAGGGACCAAGAATAGAGCCCTGGGGGACACCAGAATTAACTGAGAGGGTAGATGACATCTCATTACCAATAACCACTCTTTGGTAACGGCCTTGAAGGTAATTGGTAAGAAATTTGAGAAGTGTACCATCAATGTTATATAAGGTCTTTAGCTTATGAAGAAGGATATCATGATTTACAGAATCAAATGCCTTAGCAAAATCAAAATACACAACATGATTGATAATGTTTTCGTTAAGAGACACTGCCAGGCTATCACAAAAGTCAACCATATTGGTTGTGCATGACTTGTGCTCTAGAAAACCATGCTGCCTGGGATCAAGAAGGGTACTTGTCAAAGAAAGCAGTTTACGTTTAACAATGCGCTCAAAAACTTTCATGACTAAACAAGTAAGGGATATTGGTCTATAGTTTTCAACCTCACTTTTCTTACCTTTCTTAAATATTGGGACAACATTTGCAAGTTTCCATTCTTGTGGAATGTAGCCGCTGTTGTAAGATCCACGAAAAATACATGTTAGAGGGTAAGCTAAACCTACGGAACAATTTTTGAGAATTTTACCGTGTATGCCATCTGGTCCCTGGGCTTTATTTGAATTAATATTTGAAAGAAGCTTACGAACATCCCGATGATCGAAGTCAATATCAAAATCAACATCATTGACATAGGATATGTCAGTGTCATAAAGTGAAGGATCCGAAAACTGGTTATAAAAGAAAGAATTGAAAAGTTCAGCTTGAGCTTTGGGTTTGAACCGAAGCTGTCCAGAATAACTAACACAATTAGGAATACGGCAGGAGTTAGATTTATACTTAACATGTGACCAAAACTTCTTAGTTATAAGCGCTGGATCATCACTATTGAAAAGATTGTCTCTTATTTTGGCTGATGAAAGCCTCTTAAAATCTTTACGGCTAGTAACAAACTTTAACTCATCAGAAATAGAACCAGAAATTTTAAATTTAGCTCTGAGTCTATCTTTTTTACGGCATGAAGAAAAAAGTTCACTATCGAACCACGGGGGTTGAAACTCTGATTTAATAGTTACTTTAGGAATATGTATATCAACTAAATTCATAATGCAGTCTTTAACTAACTTCCAAGACGAATCAGGATCTAGGCATTCTAGGACTTGCCAATTAATCGAGCATAATTCACGATTAATCATGTCCCAGTTTGCTTTCTTATAATTATAGATTTTACGTTTAGGAGTTTTCTTGCGGGAAAAGGAGCTTTTAATTGAAAAAGTGACAGGAAAATGATCAGATTTGCACACGGAATGAGGATCACAGACATTCAAGTTATCGATTGTGTTATCATAATTACTGAGAAGAATGTCTAATGTATTACCACTTTTATGGGTGGGTGATGTGATCAACTGGGAGAGAGAAAGATCACTGAAAGAATCTATGAAGGATTGCTCAATAGGTACGGTACTGGATGAAGATAGCCAGTCTGTATGGGGGAGATTAAAATCACCAATAACATAGATTTTAGGGGGATTCTTTTTGGAAACTAGCTTGCGAATATAACTAACTATGACATCATGATTAGGTAACCCAAGAGTTCCTACTCTATAACAAGTACAGATTACAATACTCTCTTTGTTAGGAAAAGCAATTTTAACGGCAAGCATTTCTGCACCTAGGCTAACTGGTAGTCGGGTTGTAGTGGCATCGAGATCAGACCGAACAGCCAAAAGAACACCACCTCCATTTTCCCTAAACTTTTTAGGGTTATTAGGATCTTGAGGATGAGTCTTTCTCGTGCGGTCATTGCGGAAGATTTCATATTGAGAAGAAGGAAAGATTTCGTTGCTAGAAATAGATTTTTTGAGCCAGGTCTCATTTAGGGCAATTATGTCAGGCTGCTCTATGTTAGCAAAGGATTGAAGTTCGGAAATCTTATTACCATCAAGAAGGGGATGGGAGGAGCTTAGGTTACTGAAAGGAATAAGACCTTGGACATTTTTGTAGAGTACAGATAGGGAGTTGGGACCTGGATTAAGCATAGAAGGATTAACAAGAGTTATCAAAAGAAAGTTAAGAGAGAAAACCCAAAGAATGAATAAAGATACTAGACGCCTGAGGCGGCTGGAATACTTGACTCTATTCATCTTACCAGGGAGAAGAACATTTCTTATAAACCATGAGGAGATAATTACAAAGAAAAGTTTGATGTGGGAGCAAGCAAGAAATGGTATAAGATAACGTGGGCTGTCAAGGAGTAGAGAGGAATGAATATTAGAATCTAGGGGGAATACGGTGTTCATGGACCTAGTCGTGGAGAGAAGAATTGGGAGAAGGTAAGTCATGATGAGAGAATAGAAGAGAAACATATGATTATGATAATTGTAGTTGATGTGTGGGGTGCATGGAGAATTAAATGTGTAAATTTTGTTAGGTATAAACGTGTTGATATGTATATGTGCATTTCTTGACTGTGTACGAGGCCTTTTGCATGCAAAAAGACCTATTCTAAGTCTAAACGATTCATTGTCTAACATATGGGAAAATGGGCAGTGACCGAATGTACCTGAAATAGGAGGCATAAAATTGAGAAAAAGATTAAATCAGAGATTTGTTTGAGTTTTAATTTTAGGCGCAACGTCTTAATCAAAATATTAAATGAAAGAAAAGATCAAAGATTTAAATTCCCAGAAGATTATTTACAACCCTGTCAAAACTGTGTTCGTTTACAACAAACTTAAGCCAAGTGGACAATAAACCTACTCCTCTCATGTTGAGATGAAGCCAATCATGGTATAGAAGTTCATTACAGGATCTAAAGTCTCGAGTTAAAAATTCTGAGAAACAGTCTAAGAACACACAATTATTATTTAGGCATAAGTCTTTAAGTATATTATTAAAATCTAGAACATTCTTTGCTATGTAGGAATATAAACACTTAATAGGAAGACAACATTGGATAATTATAATTGCAGCGGGAAATAACTGCTTAGTGGTGTCAATTAAGTCATTAAGATACTTCCTAAGGAACTGAACCCCATACTTAGAATGTTTTATGTCATTTGTACCAACACTCAATATAATCTTTTCAATATCGTCAGCTTCTGCAGCTGCATGAGTTTTATGAAAATGCTGAATATTTTCAGTGATATCTCTAATTTTTGCACCACTTTGGGACACATTGATTACTTTCCTTCCCCGGAATCCCAACTTATTTGTCCGTACGAATTTTGTCATTGACGTACCAAACAGGACAGTGGTTTTTCTGCTCTTCGGTTTTCTTGGGGCATTTCGGTAGTAAAGGGTTGGTGTTGAGGTGGTGGTGGGCGGCATAGGAATTGTAGTGAGGACATTCTGCTCCCTGACTACATTTGTATCTGTCTTCGGTATCTGGCAGCGAAAAGATAAGCTATACCGAGTCTCCTTAGCTGATCTCTCTGCACGAACCTTGTGAAGACAATATTCCTGACACCCCGGTTTCATAATATACAAACTACAGTCCTTTGGGGTGATATGGCATTTACTGTTACATCGCTTATCCCCATTTTCTGGAATTATGTCGAGGGTCCTCTCAGCTCCAAATGAAACTACATAAATACCTTGCGACTGGTCAAGAGACACCTCGTCGTCGTTGTGGTACCTAGTTGCACAAGAACCAGACTTGTACATGCTTGCTAGGCATGAGTTTAGCTTGCAGCCAAACTTGGAGTTGATATCATGCATAAGCTCTGATATCCCAGGATAATTTAAAATATCGATTGGCTCCTTAGTCGTGGTGTGTCCATTTGAGGAAGACCACACATATTCTTCTCCAGTGGAAGTGAGCCACTTTGTGGCAGTTTTCACAGCAGTTTGCTTGGCCATAAGTGTTTCAAGTTCAGACATCAACGTGCCATGTTGAACACTCTTGTTTTGAACAAAATCTGAATGCAACTCCAAGAAGTCCTCGCATTTAACAGAATCCCTCTTAAGTTTCATGACATTCTCAACACTGGCCTTAAGAGCTTTCAGCTCTTTTAATGAAAACGAGTTTAAAACATTGGTAACAGAATTCAGATCCATAGTGAAGGAAAGAGGGAGGAGAAGATGGCGGTGAGGGAGGAGAAAATGGCGAAGTCAATACTGTAGCCCAGGAAGTAGATGCGTTGCTTAGGATACAAACGGTCACGCCATAGTCTCTTCTATCGCTTTGACATTGGGACCTAAAATTATTTGTTATATAGTAGTGTTGAAAGTATTAAAACTACATCGCTATATCTTAGGTATAAATATTGGATGATAGAAGGTAGTAGTATCGCATTCTATCAATAGTCATGCCTACCTTCTCCAAGTTCATCTATTGTTTCACTGGTGAGAATTGACTGAATTTTTACCGGCAGGACATTTTCAAATATCAGCTTTCCTCAACCTAAATTTCACTGTTTTGACCTTTTTTTCTTCAATGACCAATTAGGGAGTTCACTGTGGATGGCACAAGATACAATTGAGGTTCTGAAAGCTATATTACCGAAGAAAGCTCCGATTAACGGAAATTTGTCAGAATAAAAGGATACACAATTTGGTAGATTTTTAAACAGAACCTTTTCTGCTGTTTCCTTGACCCGAATTTCACATTTTTGACTAAATTTTTACCAGTGACCAATCAGTCAGTGTGAGTGACACAAGCCAACATCAAGGTACTGGAAGCTGAAAATCCGGAGAAATCTTTGATAAAATGAAAATCTTGAAAATGCCTACCGGTAGTCAACTACTTAGTTATCTGAAATCTGATTGTGATCACATAATGCTGGGAGTGTTATATTACAAACATTGCATGACTCTGCTACTCTCGACTGTGTGAGGTCATCACTCTGTGTTGTTTTTTTCTCTGTGCGTTCTTGTAGCCTTGGATTTGATCCCAGGTCAAGATTAGTTTGAAATGGTCGCCTTTGGCGTTTTTGATGGTGGCTTCAATATTAAATTGATATTTCAATAGTGGTTCTAGGATGTGAAGCTTGCTTCAGCCAGACTACATTTCTATCCCAACTTTAACTACGATACCTCCTGGCCAGACTCATCTTTCTCTGGAGAGGAAGTGACAAACCGAAAATTTAAGAGTTAATAGCATCAAGGTAACGAAGCAAGAATATTAAAAATACGGTTTTAAAGTACAGCTCTACATTTACACTGTTTTCCAGACAAGATGATTTCATGAGCATTATATCCTGGGAAATGGGAATTAAAAGGTCATTATAGTCAAGGATAATGACCGGTAGCTACAATATTAAATTGATTTCTGGAGATCGGTCTCGGATGTGAAGCTTGCTTCAGTCAAACACTGACAATACTGTATCACTCCAACTTTGATTTCACGATTATATCCTGGAAATTAAAAGTGAGCAGATGTTTCTCGGTTTTGGTCGTCACTATGACAACTGACGTTATTTACTGAAGCACTGATTTGAATAGTAAATTTGGGCAAATCCATCGCGCGTTGACCAATTTTAAATAGCTAAATCTGGCGCCAAATTAAAAATTATGTTGTTTTGTCGTCAAACAACCAATTTTTAATAAACGCGGCTTTAAAAAACTTTTTTTTCCGAATTGGAAAGTATTTGTGTGCAAACGACCAATTACTGGTCGTATGGTACAAATAAAGACAGAAGTTTGATACAACAGACTAGGCAACCTAGTGTGATTGGTCGGCTTGGAGATGGCTAGATAATTAAGGATAATGACCTGAGGATTTGATACAAGTTGTAATCCCTTCTCGGGCCGAAAATATTTCCGGCCGCTTTGCGTGCACATTGCACAAGAGAGGCATACAACGTGTAGCAACCTTGGATCTTAAATGTACCTTACTTTGATTTTCAGTCGCCGAACGTGAGCTGCGATCTGTGCCAGTTTTTGATGATTACTGTATACAGTATAATAATATTGTCCGATTTTCTTAAAATAACCAAATAGTCGCTCCCAACTTTTGTACTATCAAGTAATATAAAAATCATTGAAATGTATATTACTCCCACTTCTAGTTATGGAAGAAACAATTCCCCTGATACTGCAAAGGATGAAGATCCCCTGAATGTTTCCAAGCAGTTACTTATTGGTGATAGTGCAACGTTTCGCTATCTAATAAAGGAGATGCACCAAGTGGAACTTCAGTTTGATGATTTCTTGGCAGAAAATGTAACGCTGTTTATAACTCTGTTGGATGATAGGGAGCTGGGGAATGTAGTTAACGGAAACTTTAGGGAGCTAAATATAAACTTGCCGAAGTATTTGTAATAGATTGGATGAAGGAAGAGTGTAAACAGTGGTTAAAGAGAAGGTGGAATGTGCAAGCACGGATGAAGAGAAACGGTTTGTGTTTGAAGAATGCATTTCCATTCTCGGGGAAATGGATAATAAAGATATGATAAACGTTTTATTGTGGGAACTAACATGCGAAGATAACGCGTATTTTGTGTTGGAGTATATGACAGGTTTGGATGAACAGGATACCGTTCAAATAGACTATATGATAGTTCTCGGAGGGAGTAATACTGAGCCGTTCCTCCGTACTATTCTAGTGAACTTGGAAGGAAAGATGAAACTGGACGATAATTTGAAGTATCTTCTCCAGCAGATGCATCTAGCCCTGAGTTTCGAAAAAAAAACAAGGAACTTTATCTTGTGAAAGAATGCAAACCCTACCAGACATGTCGGTAGATGATATGAGGTTAAAATGTTCCGTCTCTCAACGGAAACAACTTCCTTGCTCAGTTCCCGTAGTGAAGATAGGAGGTTGAGCACTACTGTCTACTGAGGTGTATGATAACAAGAAATATATAGACTGAACAGTTGTAACAAGATATCACAGACGCAGTTCTGGTAACAAGGTGACGTCTGTGTTTATAGTTGTTGAACTGCTGTTTGTGTTTGCTACTACTTCAAAACACCCAGTACAGATCAGGAGACACAAGAATTCATGACTAACAGTTAGAGAAATTTTGTAAGGAGAAAAAACTGCAGAAAGTATCGAAAGAATTTGTGGAAGTGTTGATCAATGCTTTAAAGTATTCTCCAAAAGAACAAAAATTGAACTTATCGCAATTTTGAATGAGATAACAAACAATGACAATCTCTCAACCCACCATGAGAACATACTCATTAAATGTGATAAGTATATCAATGTGTCACCATTATCAGGAAAAAGATAAGTCAGTACTGTGAAACATGCTATGAAAGGAGATAAGAGTGTACCAGTAGGTTCTGTGTACAAGTGTCTCTATACATTCTGACATCCCAGCACAGTGGAGTGTACAGAAGGTGGTAAATGCGGTTTTATATTAAGATACAGTAGACAAGACGAAAGTAGTTACAATTTACATAGTAGAACTGTATACTAACAGTGAAGACTACGAGGGTACAGGGACCTACATCTTCATGATGTTGTGTCTGGTACTTGTGACATGTACAGGTATTGGATATCTTCAGGTAACACAGCTTCTCATAATATTGTTCAAGTAGCAGGACAGGTTAAGTGGTGGGAGGATTGGTTACCAGATGTAACTAACTGGGTACTTGAACATCACAGTGTTGCATATGACATATCTGATTACGTCGTTTCTAAAAGATAAAAAGTTCGATTTTAGAACAGAATTAGTATAGCTATTAGCTAGATATAGTTCATTTAGTAGTTTAGTTCAAATACTTGAAAATTGAACGTAATTTTCTTGTATTTTACTCTTGTACAGAACATTTTGAATGCAAAATATTTGGTATGCGAGCCAATCGCTATATTATTTTATCTGCATGATTCAAAATATTCAATGATGTTGACAGTATTGTGACCTATTTTAAACTTTATACTAGTATATTTAATACTGTGGACAAATTAGCACAAATTATGTGTTACGAGAATGATCGAAATTTAATTGTTTTACTTTCAAAATGTTATATAAATATAATTATTGATTATCTCAGATCATAAGTCGAATTCTGACATCATCAAAAAAGACGATAAGGTTTGTATTCCTTATACCACCGCCGTGTTTTATATTTGAGAGTTGTTGCTTTGCAGATGGTATACTGTACCTACTTGTTCGAGGATTCCGTCACCAAAATTCTAAAATTCGATTTGTGGGGGCCACACCCAATCAACATTGAATTGCATATAATACTGGTGTTTGTGAACATGTTAGAGACTCCGTTGTAACATATTACAATAGGTCATTTAAATCGGAATACAATCTGAAAAGATGGTGCGAAACGGATTTAAAATGACGAAGTTATCAAGCAATTTGTTTTAAATCTCGTTAGCAAAATTGATTGAGTACTCTATGATTACCCAATTACGACACCGTAATTGGGCTCTCTGTACGACTCCCATAATGCGGATCTAGCCTCAACCCAATCACCTGATCACAGCGAATGAACAAACTTGTTATGCGTCATATCTCGCTCATCTAGAGAAGCATAATTCTCATTTTTTCAGGACAAACATAATTTAAATGGCCAAACACCACACAATAAAATTTGGCTCGATCCGACTATCCATACTATCAACTAAATGCGAAAATGAACCTTCATTTGAAAAAAAATGACAAGAATATGTTTCGATTTGACAATTCCTCGAACCAGTGGTGGTAGTAAGTCATACCAGAAAGAATTATTTCAATTGGGCACTCAGTGACTGAGCTATTAAGGCCAACGTATGGGTACTGACTTTTGGTCCACCCTGTATCTTTCATCATAATATTGTAGTAATAATATGTACAAAAACAAGATTTTCATTGCACTCAAAAAATGTCGACGCTTTTTGAGATTGTCTTAAATTTTTCCCGATCCATGACTCTTGTGCCGTTAATATATCATATTATGTACAATATTATTATATTATGTCAGCAAAACAAAGAACCTTGAGTTCAATTGACCATCATCTTACTTTTGAGCCTCAAATCAGTCCCTCAAAAAGCAATTGTTTCAGACTCCTTAGGAATGTAATAAGGAGAAAATATCTCTTTAGTAAAGCTCAGCTCAAGCTTATATTATACAGCATCATTGTCTGCAATTTGGACTACGGCAATGCTCTTATTATAAAATTAGTGACAACCTCATCCACCAACTCCAACTCGTTTCAGAATGCAGCTGCTAAAGCTATAGTAGGACTATTTAAATATGATCATCTAGGAGACACTCTGAAAGACCTTCATTGGCTGCCTATTAGTTACAGAATTCAATATAAGTTATTGCTTTT